GGCTAAGACCTGGTATTCCTAGACAGTCTTCTATTTAAAACTATTTATAAGACTAAACTGTTTGTTATTTTACCGAGTAAACGCCCACTGAGCGTAATAGCTCTTTTTCAGAAGCGACCTGGCCACAAATAATAGCTTTACGAAGTAGCTTATATTCTTGGGTTTTTTCGGTAAAGTCACGTAGGTAAAAAAATAAAAATAAAATAAAAATCACGACGTTTCGGCAACACAAGCGTCCGTCTTCAGGTGGAACCGTCACAGCACGCTCGCTGTATCAAGTAAATGATTTTTATTTTATTTTTATTTTTTACCTACGTGACTTTACCGAAAAAACCCAAGAATATGAATCCTTGCAGTCACGAAAGCTTCAAATCTAGAAGTAGCTTATGTTGAAATTGATAGCAGCAAAATACTCTAAACGCATGTTTCTAAATGTCGAGGGAAAAACCGGACGACCCAGAGAAAAATCCACGTGACCGTGGGATGAACATGCACACTCCAAATATAGAGGCGTCAGGGTCAGGATCGAGCCCACAGACCTCTTGTGTATACTTGGCGAGAGAGTTAACATCTCGCCACCGTGTGGTGCCCTTGCTTAGATTCTGAGATCTGACGAGATAGCACATGCAGGGTGATATTCACAATCTGTCAGGTTATTGGCTGACCAGAAATTATTAAACGATGACGTTCAGCTATATTCGTTGAGTCTTTTGCCATGTTAAACTTTATAATATTTTGTAAAAAAAATTCAGAACGTTGTAATGTTTGAGTTTGGAAGCGTGTCGCCGCCACATCAAAAGAAAGCAGCAAAATATTATATAATTCTGCTTGCATAGGTGATAACGGTTTTATATTTGCATGGGCACTGCTCCCGATAAAATCGTAGTAAATTAATGAACATTTGCAGCATAGTCATCATCTTCAGCATGAGGAATGTGGCCTCTCTTGACTTAAAGCTTTAGTCACTGCAGGAATTCATATTCTTTGGGTCTTAACAAAAAACTACGATGTTTCGATCGCAACACAAGCGTTTGTCATCAGGAAAAGAATATCAGGAAAATAATATTAATTCTTGCAGTCATGAAAGCTTTAAGTCAAGATTTAACCGCCTCTACGGGGAGGGTTTCCACACAACTATTAGATCTTTTAGCAAACTTCGAGACAAGAAGGCTCATCTGATCGAGTCGCTCACATTCCTGACATTTGGGCTACGCCCATTTCAAACCATTATAAACAGTTTGCCTTTCGAAGCTAAACCCTCTTTTCCTGATGACGACTGCTTGTGTTGCGATCGAAACGTCGTAGTTTTTTGTTATTTTCGTTGAACCTATCAACGTGACTACCGAAAGACCCAAAGAATAAAAATGTGGCCTCTGGATTGCAATGCCAATGTGAAGACGAGTGGTGTGCAGTGTGAATCGTCGGTGTTGACGACAGCACCCCCCTCCCCCGATTGCATTCACTGGCTACCCCTCCAAAGCAGTTTTGGTTTTCCAACTCTGCATCAAACACATGCACGTCTAGACGGCATGCCCCCCAGGCACAGCGGTGAACAGGCATTTAATCAAATCGGTTCGCTCCTCAAAACAAGTTGTTTGTGCACTTTAGGTGACAAATGACGTGTCAAAAAGTAGTTCGTTATTATAATACGATTCGAATGTTGGCCATTTTTCTAAGGTCTGTGCAGTGTACATGTGACAATGTCTGTCGATTTATTATTTTGCTTAATAGTAAAACAAGGCAACACATGATGGGAAAAGAGAGTCTGACCAGAGTCTTTGTCAACTGGTAGACAGCATTAAGCAATTTAACAACATAAACTATTAAATGTGTAAGGTAAAACACGAGTACTGCACTATTGTGTGCCACTTCAAAGAATGTGTGCTAACATCCACTGGCTGTGTTGCAAGGTAAAGTATAAAATAATCGATGGTCCGGCGGCTTTGGGGTGAAGTGGGTGCCGGATTTTCAAAAACGCAGGAGAATGGCATCATTATTTAAAATAGTTTATTTTTGCACATTCTTGCATAACATGTTTTAAGTGTTGTGTTTTTTTGTGTTTTAAATGAGTTTACTCTTTGAATTTGGCATAAATAAACATACAAGGTAGACATAAATATACTATAAAAAGTTACTGTACCATACTTACCACTCCAATCTCGAAGACTCTCCATGGGGTGATGTACCTATTACGCTCTTGTTTCAACTACATGAGTTTGACGATCGCCGGACTGGTACAGATTTGGACCGGTTTTGCCAGTTTTGGCAGATCGGTCAGGGACCACCAGATAATGTTGGAAGCCAGATAATGCTGCGCCGGACAATCGATGATCAACTTATTTCTAGGTAATCATTGTATTTGTTTTGATTTAAATGGTGGCAGTGGTCCACTTCTCTTAAACAGTTTTCCCTGATCTCTCTGGGCAATCTTAACATCCCATGCTTTTCTAGTTACATTGGTTGGCCATGGACAAGTCTTTGCTGCCAACTCCATAAAAAAAAACCGCATGGCACATGTCAAGATGCAATGAAAGACTATCTCCCACCATCTCTTCACGAATGGTTTGGGTGGTTATTGCCAAGAGGTGAAGAAAATCCCATACTTCATCAATGTGCAAAATGGTGCATTCTGGGCTTGGCTCCAAATTGGACAGTTATTCAGGTAAAATGTTTAATGTGTTTGCGAAGATGCAGGCTGTATTGCAAAACCACACAAGCCAGTTATAAATGTTTAGACTGCCACTGCTCTATTTCGCTTGTTTTTGGTTTAATAAGCATGAATTACATTAGCAGCCCACATATCTCGGATAGATATGGACAAATTGACGCACGTTATCTTAGGCAGATACGAAGCTTGAGATGGCTAGATCATGCAGCCTGCTTGCTCAGCAACTGAATGCCCAAAACAGCTGTTGTTTGGCTGGCTGGAAATGACTTGCATCAGTGGCACAGGATACAGAAGTGGTGGTAACTCAGTCCAAGAAAGCCAAGTGCCTTCACAGCTGGCTGATGTCTGCCGTGTCTGTTATGAATGTGACCATTGCACATGAACTATGAAGAAAAATAAAGTGGGCTTGGGCAAGACTATAGAAGGAATGATGACGAATGGATGAGTGTTGTTGGAATAGCAGCCAAACGAGAGAACATACCCGTGGGGATGGATTGTGCAGAAATAGAGCAATTAGATCGCTGAATGCACGGAGTGAGATAGGATATGGCATTGTAGGACTGAGGGATGGTGATGGAATTGGGGGGGGGGGGGGCTTTGTCCTCCAATGGATAGACAATGCCTAATGATGATGAAGAATCAGGCCTGTGAGAGGCCGTTGACATGCATCATTTGTTTTTATGGTCACCAGGATAACTCATGCAGTGACAGTTGTACGTATTTGCAGGTTATGCATGTACAGTAGCAACATTTGAATGTTCACATTACAGTACAAGGCTCAATAGCGTGTGGTGATTTGTGTACACGGTGGATATGGACTTTAATTGCAATCATGTCATTTGGTATTTTGCATAGTTTGAACATCTGTTAATCAGTGTATTTTTTTTAACCAGAGGTCTTCCGGTTACAATGAACCTTTCTAGGGGTCTGTGGATGCTATGCCGTAGACCCCCAAAGTGAACAGTCTTGTTTGAAGTGACATGATAAGCTGCTTATTTCTTTGCCCTGGAATTATTCCGTCTGTCCATCCTGAGGTTCACATTCTCACGAATAAAAAGCAAAACCACTTTCACGTGCACGTATATACTTTCACCTTTATATTTGAGCTTTACAGATGCAGAAAGCATCTGTAAAGAAAGCGTATATTGATAACTTGCACCATTTTTCTATGAAAATGCATTTTCTGTGTGCGAGTCCCTGTGCATCCGTGTGTGCGTTTTTGCTCTCGCATTTCTTGGTACACATCAATTAATTGATGCCTATAATTGGGAAAATTCTCGTTATCCTTGAAATCTGGAGTTCCTCCATTATAAGGATACAACCGACGAATCCCCTAATATATGGGAGTATCTGTTAATTGGCTGGCAATCCAGCTTATGTATTTTAAAGGAGTCCTCTTCTACTATGACGATGGTTGTATCATCATTTGCCACCCAAGCAGCAGGAAGTGGTGGGCAGCGGTATTTTGCGTATCGCCACGTGCACCACAATTAGCCCAGTTTAGCTCTCAACACCTTAGTTCAACATTATTCTGTAGATCACCTTGGCCATTGTGTCCACTGGTGCCAGCTTGAGCACCCCAGCACTAAATGAAATTCACCTTGCAAGCTTTGCTAACCTTAATATGTTTTGTTCCATACATAAATCATCAGGCCAGTATACAATACAATTTAATTTACAAATAAATTTAGCGATTATATTTATGCACAACTGATGGCTATGCAATGTATTATATTCATTGAAACATATCAGTTCTCAAATCAAGTTTGCCCATTAGTGATTATTCAGGATATAAACTTCCAATTCTGATTAACGCGTGTCATACAGTTAAAATTACAAACTAACTTATTTAGCCTACAGCATGGCTTTCTCACACCTTCAGCTTATTTAATTTTCAAGTAGCCTTGTACTTGCTGTACTGTGGGAGGTGTAAAACAAATTCAGTGCAGTACACATCAGTTTGGAATGTAAAGAAAAATCTGAAATATGGGTTGTGGGCTATGTCTTGGATTCCAGAATGTCTGTTGCTGTAGTTTTATACAGTGGACTAACAGACTGCTCATACGTGTAAGCATGTGTAGAATAAAGAATAAATTTGTCATTTAAGTATTTTATTGCGTGCAAGTGAATTTACAAATAAAAAAAGACGTGACTTTCACATGCTGAATGTAGCACGTTGCAGTAGACATTGAGGCTGGAACAAACTCTTTTACCCTGACAGCATTAGCTTATTGTTTGACAGCCAAATAATACGTCTCTGGTATCCTCTTGGGAGTGTAGATTCCACGTATGCGTGCCTCTGACACTGCTGTCTCTTCTCGCTCCACTACAGCTGCTGCAGCCGCCGCTGCGTCCAAGCACTCCGCTTCGGCCTCCGGCGCCGGCTCTGGCTCGGATTCGAGCTCGGGTACGCTTCGGAGAACGCCCGGCTCCCCGGCAGGCGCGGCTCGCTCCTCGTCCGAGCCCGACGAGAGCCCGCAGGCTTGCAGCACCGGCAGCAAGGACGGCAAGCCGCCCTACAGTTACGCCAACCTCATCACCTTTGCCATCAACAGCTCCGCTCGCAAGCGGATGACACTCAGCGAGATCTACCAGTGGATCTGCGACAACTTCCCCTACTACAAGGAGGCTGGAATCGGCTGGAAGGTGTGTGTTTTGATTGGCGTGAGGGTGACATGCACGTTTTAATTGTGCGCGTGTGTGTGCGTCGGTAGTAGAGTAATGGAGAATCTGGCCATAGCATGCAGAACTGGAATGTCAATGAGGTCCTGGATCACTGGTAACAAAGGCCATCCGCCGTGGCCCTCAATCCCCTCCATATCATGTTGACTTGTGTGGGTTATTTTATTTACGTGTAATAATATCAATGGTGCATTTCTTGCCGGTGGGGAAAGTACACGTGTTCTGGATGAACTTACGTAACATGTTTTACCTAAAGTCCATCGGCTCCACTGCAAGCTTTCATTAGAAACCTGTAACATGGCAAAATAGGTTTGAACTAGTTTCCCGCACCTCCGATTAGCACATTTGGCTATGTCCGGTGCGAAAGAAGTTCAACATACAATAGAATAAACTGAATGACACTAAATTGTTTGGGAGGAGGGGTGGCACATTTGTCAATACAAATACCAGTGAGCGAGCCAAGTGCCCCACAATCATTGTTGAGTAATGATTTATTGTTACAAAAAATACTGATAATTCCTGTATATGCCACACAAAGTATTGTAAAGGAATACTGATTTTACCGTTGAGATGAGTGGTTTATTTAACTTTTCCCTAATGGGCAGCATAACCTCATTGCTATTCTTTATCGAGCGAATACATTTTTTGTGTGATGTATTTTTAAAGGTTGCACTGTTACTATGAAAGTGAAAATCCACGCTCCTGAGCTATCCGGGATCAAGAGCAACCATCATTCTGCTATGCCAAAATCTCAAATCTCGCACGTACCAGAGTGCATTGATGAGGCTCGTTATCCACTTTATTATTTCATATTTACCATGGAGTGAAGCCGTATTGCGTGCAGAGCGGATGCAGACCCTGTTCTTGTACCCATGGAACAGAGCGCAACCTGCACCTGATAATGAGGGAGGAGTAAAAAAATTATAGAAAGGTGTATCTATCCACTACCACCCGAATACATTAAGTTAATGTGAAGTCAATCATTTGAGTTAAAGCTTTTAATCTTTATACATTTGTAAGGCAGGGCTGATCTTGAGTAAAATAAAAAATATTACCCTCCATAGTCCGGGTCTATTTGTAAAATAAAAAAGCAGTTCTTCAACGAGCCGTTAAATTTCTGTGAACCAACGAGATTGATAAAAGCAGAGTGGGCAGCCGTTGGTGTGCATGTGAAGTGACGATTGTGCCGTTGTTGTATGTGTGTGTGCCGCGTTCTAGAACTCAATCCGTCATAACCTATCTCTGAACAAGTGCTTCATCAAAGTGCCTCGCTCAAGAGATGACCCTGGAAAGGTGAACCATAACTGCTTTCACCACATTGTAATTAAGTTGCAAGTCTCTCCGTGTGAGGTTGTACCCTTCACGTTTATTGTATGAAGATATTCATATTGATGCTTGGGGGGTACATATTTGCAATGGCCTTCCTCTGAAACGGTTTCATTCCTCGTACATACACGTGTGCGTATACTACATGTGCGCGTTCTTTGCCGCGTCCCTGTGTATTTTTATGTTTTTAAGTGTTGTAACTGTCCCCTTAAATTATTACATTGGCGAATGACCGGGAAATTCTACTTGTCTGTTTGTCAAGGCAGATTTGTAACCAGGACTGGAGCTGTGCGATAGGTTGCACAGTAGAAAGGCGCTCGGCACCGTCCTTTGTAATGCACTGTGAAAGGGAAGGGCTGTCGGCTCTCTGGCTTCGTCGATTAGTGTCACTCGTTTTGAATAGCATTTATGCGCTCGTGGTTGGCAACAATAGTTCGCTATTGGAGATGGTATATGAGCTCATTACAAGCATTGTTAGCGGGATTCATCTTTACACTAATGACACACCGGTGCTGGACTAGGCATTTGTAGCAAGTCACAATGATTCATCTGAATGTTTTTTTCGGACACAGAAAACAATGTCTATGCAGGAGTATATTTTTTCTGCACTCTATATTTTTGTTCTTACTGTTTTTTTTATATTATTTCTCAAAATTGCAAAACTTTTCTTTTTCCCAAAGATTGATATCGAATCAGGACGCGCATCATCCCAACTGTGATTTATTGTGCTTTAACAAGGAGAGTGCTGCGTCCAGAAGCTATAACCATAATTAAATTGGTACATTCAAATTTTCGTATTTATAGAAAACATTTAGGTTTGTCATTTGGACTATGATCGCAAGTCACGCTGATAAAAAAAAAATAAGCTACATTTAAACAGTAACTTTATCTTGCTTTAATTGAAGTTTCAGTGATGGGTGTACAGTAGAATGCAAACATAATAATATTTACATAAATTATTTCAAAACATGTTTGTGACAGATTTCGCGCCAAATAATATATACGTGAAGTATCAACTGCTGGCGGTCCTATTTATGTCTGTGCACACGTTCAAATGGTAAAAGCCACTTTTTGTACAGCCAGTGAAATTCAAACTGGGATGTGTTGGCACTGAAAAATATCTCGGCACATTATTGGATTCCATTTTGCAATAGCGTATCGCATGTGACTCCACTACAAATTTATTCACTTACTCGCACAGTTGCGCAGCCTAATATTCGATGCGGCTAATACATGCCACTTGTGTTTATTTAAACACAACTGCACTTGACAGCCATCTGCTGGAGAATGACCTATATAAATTTAAACCTTAATCTGTGTCTCAAAAACCTCTAGGGTACTTCCTGACAAGGTATAAAGCTGAAATTTGGTACATAGGTAGCTTTTAGGACACAAAACTACATGAACAATCTGAAAATCCGAATTTTTTTTTATTTTAATGTCTCCAAATCTCAATTTTAAGTGCCCCATGAATATGTTTGTGCGTGGCATTCAGAAACCGTTCAAAATATAAGATTTCGTTTTTTCCTTTGATAGAGCGATAAACAGCAAATATAATTAAATCAAGAGCCATTGTTTTATATTTTATTGTTCTTGAATGACAAAATACGCAATTTATGATGTTCAAATCAGAATTATTCGAAAAAGGTAAAAGATAGGAGCTTCCCCTTGTAGAGTACTAAGTTGGTTATTTTTTGTTCTTTCTCATAAAAAAACGGAATCTTTAAATTAAGCAGTTTCTGATAGGTATGCCTTTTAAATATAAAATGTTGAATTAAGCCATCAACACATTTATTTTTGGGGAAAAATACACATTCTTGGAGTCATCGTTAATCGTAGATAAAAATTGTAAACAAATCATACAGGTAATTAGTTCTACATATTGAAAACGTTTGCCTGGTGAAGACAGGCTTTATGAACTAGTTTTATATACACGTGCATAAAAAACGACACGTGTTGCAGGTGATACAAACCAGTTATTGCCGCCAGATTTTGTAGTGACTGATTGTATGCAAGCAGAGAACACGCAATACTTATCTTTCATTAAATGTTGCAGCTGCTGCAACAGCAGATGCGGGGCCTAGCTTCTAGCCCTGCATGGGCACTTTCATACGGTGGAGTTCCCAGTTGGCGTGCGATGTCGCCGGACCGTGCATCCCGTGCCTGGAGTAGCACTGCCTCGTCCGTCATGGAGCTGCACTAATCATCTGTAATGACAGTCGCTGCTCAACTCGTTTGTAATGACAGTCGCTGCTTTCCACCACTGCGGTGTATTGCATGGTGGACATAGTCCAGCTCTCAACTCCTGCCTGAAATGGTGGCAGCTCGTGCATAAAAGCCAAAACAAAATACAAAGACCTCCTGAGTAGCCTACATAGATTGTCGAGGAAAGTGCTGTGAGCGAGCATCTTGAAGGTCAGCATGGCACCCAAGGGGATGGTGTGGCCACCACGACACTCTGCTGCCTTTGCTCTCCATGTTATGTTGTTTAAACACTGCATGGGGTACTCATAAGGCTGAGTTGACTTCGAGGAGGAGTAGGAACAGTCAAAATAGCACTTGCTAATTGTGTTAGCCGCAGCCCGGAATGTAACCCAGATTGCAGTGCTTGTAGCACAGTGCACTAACCATTGCCACCACTCCCCGTTAAAAAAAAATCCAGGACTGTCCGAAGTGCACTCTGGATCCAGCGCCAGCAACTCTTGCTTCAGCTGAGTGCAATGCTGTGGGAGCTTTGGTAAATGGTTGGAAATATAAATGTTTGGTTTAAGATTGCTTCACAGTGTCCAAAGTAAGCTTGTGGTATGCTTTAGACTTACAATACTATCAGGATGTGCTCGGCTTTTCCCAGGGGAAACACGTATAAATATACTTCAAAACTTGTCTTCTCTTAAAAAAACATAACATATACAACACATACTAATCTATTCTTAAATCCCGGTGTTCTGTTTGTCCATTTATCTGTCAACTAAATTATAAGAGCCTTTCTGAAGGCCTGAATCAAAAAGTTGAACCAATAGGTTTCCAAAAATCGTAAACCCTACCCCCCCAAAAAAAGTTATAGAAAGTGGACCCCCCCCCACTCAGATGCGGGGTAAAAAAGTTAATACTAAAGGTTTACAAAAATTGTCAACCCCACCCCCCCCAAAAAAATTCACCCCCCTTCCCCAAAAAAAGTGTATTTTGTAAGCATATATACCTACACACGCTACATACAATAGGGTCGGTAGTATCTGCAGTTTGGGGGGGGGGGGAGGGAAGAAGAGAACATCAGGTGGGGGTGACGGGCGAGGTGCCGAGAAGCCCTCCGAAGGAGCTAGAATCTCGCTTCCGCAGGCTGCAAAAACAGCGTTTCCTTAGCCCATGCTTCAGCAGTAAATGCAGTTTCTGGTTTGTCTTGATGCACGCTGTTCAGGATTTACCTCGGCATATCCTGCAGCAGCAGCAGCAACTGTGCAGTCTCTGGCTTATCTCCATGCACGCTGTTCAGGATTTACCTCGGCATATCCTGCAGCAGCAGCAGCAACTGTGCAGTCTCTGGCTTATCTCCATGCACGCTGTTCAGGATTTACCTCGGCATATCCTGCAGCAGCAGCAGCAACTGTGCAGTCTCTGGCTTATCTCCATGCACGCTGTTCAGGATTTACCTCGGCATATCCTGCAGCAGCAGCAGAAGCAGCAGCAACTGTGCAGTCTCTGGCTTATCTCCATGCACGCTGTTCAGGATTTACCTCGGCATATCCTGCAGCAGCAACGGTGCAGTCTCTGGCTTATCTCCATGCACGCTGTTCAGGATTTACCTCGGCATATCCTGCAGCAGCAGCAGCAACTGTGCAGTCTCTGGCTTATCTCCATGCACGCTGTTCAGGATTTACCTCGGCATATCCTGCAGCAGCAGCAACTGTGCAGTCTCTGGCTTATCTCCATGCAGGCTGTTCAGGATTTACCTCGGCATATCCTGCAGCAGCAGCAGCAGCAACTGTGCAGTCTCTGGCTTATCTCCATGCACGCTGTTCAGGATTTACCTCGGCATATCCTGCAGCAGCAGCAGCAACTGTGCAGTCTCTGGCTTATCTCCATGCACGCTGCTCTGGAGTTTCATCAGCGTGTGCTGCTGCAGCAGGAACTGTGCAGTCTCTAGATTGTCTCCATGCAGGCTGCTCTGGAGTTTCCTCAACCTGTGCTGCTGCAGCAGGAACTGTGCAGTCTCTGCATTGTCTCCATGCAGGCTGTTCTGGAGTTTCCTCAACCTGTGCTGCTGCAGCAGGAACTGTGCAGTCTCTGCATTGTCTCCATGCAGGCTGTTCTGGAGTTTCCTCAACCTGTGCTGCTGCAGCAGGAACTGTGCAGTCTCTGCATTGTCTCCATGCAGGCTGTTCTGGAGTTTCCTCAACCTGTGCTGCTGCAGCAGGAACTGTGCAGTCTCTGCATTGTCTCCATGCAGGCTGCTCTGGAGTTTCCTCAACCTGTGCTGCTGCAGCAGGAACTGTGCAGTCTCTGCATTGTCTCCATGCAGGCTGCTCTGGAGTTTCCTCAACCTGTGCTGCTGCAGCAGGAACTGTGCAGTTTCTAGATTGTCTCCATGCAGGCTGCTCTGGAGTTTCCTCAACCTGTGCTGCTGCAGCAGGAACTGTGCAGTCTCTAGATTGTCTCCATGCAGGCTGCTCTGGAGTTTCCTCAACCTGTGCTGCTGCAGCAGGAACTGTGCAGTCTCTAGATTGTCTCCATGCAGGCTGCTCTGGAGTTTCCTCAACCTGTGCTGCTGCAGCAGGAACTGTGCAGTCTCTAGATTGTCTCCATGCAGGCTGCTCTGGAGTTTCCTCAACCTGTGCTGCTGCAGCAGGAACTGTGCAGTCTCTAGATTGTCTCCATGCAGGCTGCTCTGGAGTTTCCTCAACCTGTGCTGCTGCAGCAGGAACTGTGCAGTCTCTAGATTGTCTCCATGCAGGCTGCTCTGGAGTTTCCTC